GGCGCCCGCAGGCCCACAGCTCGCCCGGGGCTGGCCGCCCGGCAGGGGCCTGGTGCTTGTGGCGGGAGTGCCCGTAGACCGGAGCCGCGGAGGAACTGCTTGCAGGGGCCGCTTCAGACGTTCGGTTCCCCCCCTTGACGTGCCTTAACGTCAGGCGGTTGTCCTTTGAAAGGCTTGGGAAAGGAAACCTGATCTAGTGGCTGCAAAATTAGCCCAGAACTCGAAAAACAAGCGTTGTGCAAATCGTATCATTCGATTGCATCGAGGTTCCTCCAAGGGAGAAAAAGAAGGACGCTGCGCAGCTCGGGATGTAGCAGCAGGATGGCTTATAGGCTTAGTAAGCGACTGGCGGGAGGAGCAGTCTTTTAAGGGCTACTGTTCTCCTGCCTGCTGGGCTCTGTAGCAGCAGTTTCTTCTGTTTCCTGCGTTCCTTTCTATTTTCTCCCTAATTCTCTGGTAGTGACAAAAGCAGAAAACTAGATTTGTCTCTGGGGCTCCTTTTGCTTTCTCTACCTTCTTTCCCCTTCCTTCTCTCTCCCCATTCCAGGGGCGTTAGAGTCCTGGACCCAGCTTCTCCTCCTTTGGGCAGCAGGACTGGATTTATTGGCTGACAGCCTTGGGCCAACTGTGAGGGGATAAATACATAGCAGAACACGTTTGGAAATGTTTTGCTAAGTAAGTGCTGAGGCAGATAGAGTTTAACTCTTGGCTTTGGGACAATTTGTGATTCAGTTTGACCACAGAGTTGCTTTCTTCAACTGCTTTTTAGTTGTCCTGCTCTGTGTATTTTAATGTCATTGTTTTGCGGTGAATGTCTTGAAACAAGATGCAGATTTAAAAAAATATTATTTCGTAAATTATTCAGGGGTGGAGACAAGGCATATATAAGTCAGTGAGAGTCACGATGCCTTATTCTTCTCACACTTATTTCAACAAAATGCTACAGGCCAAGAGAGAAAGAAAGCTTGTCCAGTAATGATAATACATTTATAGTGCACCTTTGATCCAAAGAAATCCCAGGTCCTACTGACTAGTCACCCTGCACGTAGAAGATTATGATTGTAACTATGCAGAAACGTCGCAGTTGTTTAACAGAGGAATAGCAGAGGTGACGGTTGTGTATGACTAGATGTAATGTTTTAGTCATGAAAGTTTAAGGATGTAGGTTAGGGTGTACAGGGAGAGAAGATAACTTTTACTAGATTTTAGGCTTTGTCTTATAGAATCATAGAATCATTAAGGTTGGAAGAGACCTCCAAGATCATCGAGTCCAACCGTCAACCCAACACCACCATGCCCACTAAACCATGTCCCTAAGCACCTCATCTACGCGTCTTTTAAATACTTCCAGGGATGGGGACTCAACCACTTCCCTGGGCAGCCTGTTCCAATGTTTAACCACTCTTTCAGTAAAGAAATTTTTCCTCACATCCAATCTAAACCTCCCCTGGCGCAACTTGAGGCCATTTCCTCTCGTCCTTTCGCCAGTTACTTGGGAGAAGAGACCGACCCCCACCTCGCTACAACCTCCTTTCAGGTAGTTGTAGAGAGCGATGAGGTCTCCCCTCAGCCTCCTTTTCTCCAGGCTAAACAACCCCAGTCCCCTCAGCCGCTCCTCATAAGACTTGTTCTCCAGACCCTTCACCAGCCTCGTTGCCCTTCTCTGGACACCCTGCAACATCTTCACACCGTGCCTTTAGATATTTGTACACGTTGGTGGGATCTTCCCTTCCTTCTTCTTTAGGCTATACAGTCCTAGCTCTTTCCAGCCTTTCCTCACAGGGGAGATGGTCCAGTCCATACTCATCTTAGTGGCCCTTTGCTGGACTCCCTCTAGTAGCCCCATCTCTCTCTTGTACTGGTAAAGTCCCAGTCTCTAGACATTGATTGACATTTTCTCAACTGTGTTCCTACAGTGCATTGATGGAGCCCACATTGCGGTAGTGAAACACTGTTGATAGATGAAGTACCCAGCGATACAAGCATTTCAGACATTATTGAAACTTTTTTTTTGCCAAATTTGTGGCATACCTAACACACCCACAGAGTCCCTACACACTTGCTCCAAGAGTAGGACTTCTGTTACTTTTTCTCATACATCACCACCACTGACGGTTTTAGTGAAATACTGTATCCTACCAAGTTCTCCGTGTTGCCAGCTCTCTGTGACACATTATACCATTTCCTTTAATACCCATTAATACTGTGAGTATTAACAAATAACTCTCAAAATTGTTGGTGGCCTGGCTTTATTCTGAACTACAGTTACAGGTCCTTGACTGAAGATGTTCCTTTCCCTTCCTTCCATTCCCTTATTCCCTCCAGCCCCCAATGTCTGGAAGTCTTCAGAAAACACAGAACTGGTCCTCTAAGGTCGGTAAGGGCACGACTCAAAAGGTCAGCAGGCAAATAAAACAGTGCTTAGTTGATACACTCTTTTTTGTTTCCTTTGCTCTGAAAGATGCTATTACTTCAAATATCCTTTACTTAGTATTTAATGACTAGAATGAGGAGGCTTATTTTTAACCTTTTTTGCCATGTTCTGAATACGAGGAACTATGCTTTGTAATTGCTGAAACAATTGAAAATGTGGAGTGCAAAGTCTTTCAGCAGAGTGAGAAAGGCAGCAACCAGGGGGTATTTAAGGACAGAGCAAAATCAAGCTGTTGTCAAAACTAAACTGAGGGGTAGGCTCAGTTTTCCAGAAACTGATTAATGAGGGGGAAAAGGTAAGTTGTCCTGGAAGAAGGAAAAAAGAGCTTTATTATTTGCTAGAAGAGGAGTTTTCAAATGAAAGGCTGCTGCTTTCCCAAGCTCGAGAGGAAAATGAGTGAAGGTTTTCTTAGATGTTAACAGACTTCTATGGGTTAACAGTTCACTAGTGTGGGAGATGGTCAGTACTAAGTCCAGAAGAAAGAGGCTATAATCCAGCATTAAACACTGTTGCTTCAAGGCAGGTACTCGCAGAACAAAGTAGTTACACTGGTATCCTGACTGTGACTCCAAACGTCCCTGGTAGAGCTTGCTCATGAAGATCCCAATTGTGCTCTGTATATGAGGGGATGTATGGGACTGAAGATGATCTTTGTGGGAGTGTTCTGAAACCATGGTATAAAAATGTGGGAGGCCCATCAGGCAGAGACTGATTAATGTCATCTGTCTGTGAAACACCATGTACACTGGGAATGATGTATAAATAATAAGCTGATTGTGCAACTGGTCTGTTGCAAACTGGGTCAGGCTCCCAGGTGGTCTGAACGAAGGCTGTTCAACTGAAGTCTGCTGAAGCCAGGTCTCCCAGCAGTTGAAAATCAATGTGGCTCCATTAAAGTCAGCAGGGACAAATTCTGTAGGCTTTTAAAGCTAGTTCTGTGGTGGTCCATCCTTGATGCATTTCCAACACTGTGCCTTTCTTTACCTCTTCTACCTCAACACATAGTTTTGCTTAAGCGGGTGAGATCTGTGGTTTCGACCTGTTCCCAGCCTCAGCTATTGCCTGGCACTGTCCATTACAAAGGCTGTAAAAGTACAAAATCCGTATTAAAAAACAGAATGACTTTGAAGTTATGTTTTCAGTGCAGTCATTTTCACAGAGGAAATTAACCTCTGATGAACGAGAAGTTCAAGCCTGCTCTCGGCTACGTACACACATGGCTTCTGATCCTTTCACATAGTCTGGTAGAGTCCCATGCATCCACATTTCTCGGTATTTTACTGCAGTATTTCAATGCATTTACCTTGATTTTAATTTTTTTTTTTACATGTAGATGACTGCTAGCTGCAGTGCAGCTACTCTGCTAAATCACTGACAGTGTGGTTTCCTGGGCAGGACTAGTTCTGCTTGTTTGGTTAGGGTTTTTTTTGATGTTCTTAATGTAGCCACAATCTTCACCCCCCTCACATACAAGAATTAGTGATGACACTAAATCCTTGCTGGAGCTGGTTCTGGCAGCTTTTGACATGCAGTAATTATGCTCTTTTGCTTGAACTAGCAAGACTGGGAAATTAAATTGCGTGGACATCTCCCCTTTCTATCAGCCTTGTGGGATTACTGGGAAGGATCCTGGCAGAGCATGTAAAGCAGCAGCTCGGAGCTCAGCCATCGGTTCTGGAGGGCTGTGAGGAAATGCAAACAGGCTTCCAAGGAAGCTCAAATA